TGACCGTCCTTAGCGAGTCATGTGCCATGTGTGGTGAGGTTTTTTTTTTTTTTTTTTTTTTTTTTTTTTTTTTTTTTTAAAATAGCCGTTGGGCCCGCCAGGCCCGCCAGGACCGGCCCAGGCCCGCCTGCCGGTCCCGGGCCAAACGGTCCCGGGCTCGTGGGCTCAACCATGGAGACCAGCCCGTGACGGGCTCAGAGGCCCACCAAGACCGGCCCACCCAGGACCGGCCCACCAGGCCCACCAAGCCCGTTAGGATCGCGGGCCCGGTCCGGTCCGGTTCAGGCCCGGCCCACCGAGCAGCCCTACTTGGAATGAGGGAGATTATGAGTTTCGGTTGATCGAAACAAAAGTAAGAGGAAAATAGGAAATGAAACTATTACCGGATTCTTTGGCCAATTCTTTTGCTAGAATGTGGGGCCCAAAATCACTTGGCAAAAATGTGAGAGGAATCTCATACTATAACTTTAATATCACTTTTAAATATTAGAAAAATATTGGGCACAACTTATCATTTCTCACTTTATTCTCATAACTCGTATTATAACATTATTCGTAAATTTTTTTTCCTCTTAATTTTTTCACTATTCAATAATATGTTAAACCGTAAGAAAATGTATTTTTTTTAACCTTTTCAGTATGAAAACAGAGATGCTTAAAGAGAAAAGGAAAAAGATTGAAAATAGAAAAAATAAAAATATTATTCTTGTCCTTTTCTCTTTCTATGATAACCCAACTATGCAACGCAAAACAATATCATAATAGTAATGAATGATCAGATATAGTCTACAAAAGATAAAATATTTTACTACGTTGCTCGGACTCTTCGAAAATGTGGATGGGTGTGTATTAGATCCTCCAAAAGTAGTTGAGTAATATTTGGAAGATCTAATGTGGGTGAAATAATATTTTGGAGCGTCCACACAACGTAAATTCTACCTATAACGCATAATTAATATACCATATATACTTCTTTATATTATCTAAAAATTGGAAATGAAAGGGCTGGGCTCTTAGGCCAATTCTTTTGCTGAAAAGTGAGATCCAAAATTCACTAGGCAAAAATATGATAGGAATTTCATGCTAACTTTTGTCTCCTCAAATTGTAAGATAAGGGTTGATTCTCACGGTAAAGCACACAAATTCAATTGTTTAACGTCAATCAAAGTACTCTCACTTTTAAATATTCGAAAAATATTGGGCACAACCTATCATTTCCCACTTTATTATCCTAAATCTTACTATAACTTTATTTGTAATTTCTTTTTCCCTTATTGTTTTCACTATTCAAAAATATGTTAAATCGTAAGAAAATGTATTTTTTTAACCTTTTTAGTATGAAACAGAGATGCCTAAAGAGAAAAAGAAAAAGATTGAAAAGAGTAGAAAACAAAAATATTACTCTTGTCCTTTTCTCTTTCTAAGATAGCCAACTATACAAGGTAAAACAAACGCTGTAATAGTAATGAATGATCGGATATAGTACATAAGAGAAAATATTTTACTTTGTTACTCGGACACTTCGAAAATATCGTTTTCTGCATTTCCTCCAAAAGTTGTAGATTAATTTTTGGAAGATCTAATGGGGGTAAAATAATATTTTGGAGCGTCCACGCAACGTAAATTCTACCTTTAACACAGAGGCGGATCCAAAATTTTGAGACCATGGGTGCACTACCGGCTTTAACGTAAATTTGGTGTTTGTAAATAGTGTAAAAAGAAATTGGTCAATAATGTGAGAATATTTAGTATTTTGACTTATTATCAATTTTAAACAGTATTAATTAAAGATATAACTTGTACACTTCTTAAATAATTTAGTTCTTTATCTTCTACATTCAAAACAAAGAAGGAAAATAAAATGTTAATGATAATTTAATAACGTAAAGTTTGAAACATTTTAGTGCAAAATGAAGCACAAAAAATAAGGGAGTAATGAAAGAAAGGAAAAGACGGAAGGAAACAAATGAAAGAAAGAAAGAAAAATGTAGGACGAGTATGTCCAAGGGGATTCGATCCCTTGTTCTTGGGGAAATAAAACAACCATCCAGCCAGTGCACCACTTCGCTGCACAAAGCATGGGTTCCTCAAGTTAATATTAGATCATTTATGTAAATTATGTACATGAAAAAGACTAATTTGCTAGGAAGATCATTGGTTCACGTGAACCCTAATTTATAGGGCAGATTCGCCCCTGCTTTAACACACAATTAGTATACCTTCTTTATATTATCTAAAAATTGGAAACGAAATGGCTAAGCTCTTAGGCCAATTCTTTGGGAAAAATTCAAAAATAGCCAGATTTACAAGTGATCATTAAAAAATAGTCACGCTTTCAAAAGTAATCGAAATTTAGTCACTATTCAAGTAAAGATAAATCTGAGCGAAAACACTATTCAAAACCCGAAAAATACGCCAGTATATTATGCTGGAGTTCCAGCATAAGTATATTGGAACTCCAACATATTATACTGGAGTTCCACGATAAGTATACTGGAACTCCTGCATAATATAATGGAGTTCCAGCATAAGTACACTAGAACTCCAGCATAATATACTAGAGTTCCAGCAAAGTATACCGGTCCAGTATAATATGTTGTAAGTTCATACACAAGTGCTCGAATCTCCAGTATATTATGCTGGAACTTTCCGTGTGTTGGAGTTCCATCATAATATGCTGGAAGTTCATACACAGGTGCACCGAACTCCAGTATATTATGCTGGACCGATCTCTGTTGCAGTACAATAGTGACTATTTTTAATTGACTTGACAAACATTGGCTATTTTTGAGTGACCAGTCCGAAAACTGGCCAAGCCGTGCTATTTTTACAAATTCTTTTACTGAAAAGTGAGGCCCAAAATCCACTTGGCAAAAATATGGAAGGAATCTCATGCTAATTTTTGTCTCCTGGGTAGTTGTGTCTCACGCAGAATAAAACTTTCCAAATTGTAAGATGAGGATTGATTCTCACAGTGATCACGTCAATCAAAATACTATCACTTTTACAAGTGAGACTCTCTCAGTTGGTAAGCACCTCTATCCACGACCGTTAGGTCCTGGGTTCGAGTCACGCTGGAGGGGAAGTGTGAAAACACTAGATCCTCTTAAATTGGGAGGGATTTTTTGTAAAAAAAAAAAAATACTCTAACTTTTAAATATTCGAAAAACATTGGGCGCATCTTGTCATTTCTCACTTTATTCTCCTAAATCTTACTATAACTTTATTTGTAATTTCTTCTTCCCTTATTGTTTTCACTATTCAAAAATATGTTAATTCTAAGAAGATGTTTATTTTTTTGAACCTTATCAGTATGAAACAGAGATGTTTAAAGAGAGAAAGAAAAAGATTGAAAAAGAGTAGAAAATAAAAATATTACTCTTGTCCTTTTCTCTTTCTAAGATAGCCAGTTATACAAGGCAAAACAAACATTGTAAGAGTAACAAATTATCAGACATGTCCACAGAAGAGAAAATGTCTTACAATGTTGCTCGGACTCTTTGAAAATGTCGTTGGGCGCATGTTGGATCCTCCAACAATAGTACTGGATTAATTTTTGTAGAATCCAATGTAGGTAAAATTATGTTTTGGAGCCCCCCCCCCCCCCCCCCCCCCCCC